ACACTACAGATCATTATGGCACTTATTTCTACATAAGTGTACACCAGATTGCAGCTTTCTGTTCTCTGGACACATACCACCAGGCTAGGAAAGGGTTGCCATGTATTCTACTTTAAAGAATACATTCCCTATTTGACGGTGTCCTCCATATTTTAAAGGGTTTCAAGACAAAAACCAGCTTAAAGACTGAAGAAGCCACAGAACAGATAGCTATGGTTTTGTAGTTGTCCCTCAACAGCTAACAATGGCACATACACACATATCACAGGATCCCCAATATTTTTCACTATGATATGCAGCGCTACATTTCTGTTCAAATTAAGTGATTCTTTCCCAATTTTCATCAGCATCTACAAATTCCATACAAACTTGTTCCTACTTTTTTTCTTTTGTGGGCACTCTGGTTTGAGCTATAACTTTTCATGGAACAAAACTTTTCAAAATGGAAATTCTGAATAAATTTTTCATTGCATCTCGAAGGGAAAAAGAATTCATCATCAGAAAAATGCAGTATAAAGACCAGTCTCTTATATCAGTGGTCCCCAACCTTTTCCAAATCGCAGACTAGTTGGGGGATGTCTGTGCACAGGGGCACCCCCTGTACTCGTGGGAGGCTTGCGCACATGCATGGATGGGTGGGGCTCGCTTGTGCAGATGGGTGGGGTGCGCTCACACACATGCATGGATGAGTGAGGCTGGTGGCAAATTAATTAACAGGTTGATACTGAGGTCCAGCTTGTGATGTGGTCAGCTTGAAGGGCCACCTTCTCTCACAAAAGCATATTCACATGGCACACTACTGTATTCCTCATGATACCTTCTTTGCCTTATTAACTTCAGAAGCTTATCTGGTGCACAGCAGAACAGAGCTTATTTAGTTGTAGTGACCATACTGTAGAACTATGTTCCTTCACTGGTCCATTTTGACTTTTTCTTAATGGTCTTTTGCTAAATCCTAAAAAAAAAAAAATAGTTTTGTTCTGCCAGTTGGGGTGTATTTTTGTTGGTATGAAGCCTGTCCAGCTTTAATCTGACTTTTCAGATAGTCTGAAAAGGCTTGTCTTGTTTTCTGTTCACTTTTCTGGCTACTGAATTTGCCTTTAATGATTTTACCTTACTATCTTCGGAGAAGAGTGAGATACAAATATGTAGATGCAAACATTTAGCTAAAATACATACTTTAGAAATGTTTGCTTTCTAAAATACTGGCCTCCAGGGTCAGGGTGAGGCAAATGATGGTCAGGAGCACAGGCTAGAAAACATAAAATTTGCCTCATTTCCACTGTTGGCTGCACAATATACAGTGGTGGCCCGCATAGTAATGTTAATCTGTGCAGCAAAAATCGCTGCTAAGCAATTTCGTCGCTATGCGATTTTTAAAAGCCCATAAAAATGCATAAAAACCTATTTAACGCATTCCTATAGGCAAAAAACTGACCTTAAAGCAAAGATCCTCCATACGGCGGCCATTTTCGCTGCCTCTTAAGCGAGGAATCCGTCCCTAAACACAGCGGGCGGCCCTTTTTTTTACCCGGCGGCCCTTTTGGAACCGCCAATCAGCTGTTAAAAAAACATCGCTTTGCAATGATCGGTAAGCAAAACAGGGACCCGATCATTGCAAAGCAAAAAAACAAAAACAAAAAACATTTAAAACATCGCAATGTGATAGCTTTTGCGATCGCAAAATCTTCATCGCTATGCGATTTCATCACTAAACGGAGTGAGGCACCACTGGAATGCAAATTCCCTTGTTGGGCCAGTAAACTACTGGCTGGTTGACTGACCTACCTGTTTCTGAATTACCCTGATTCTATATCCGGAAATGCTTCAGAAGCAGGAAAGTCTAACTTTGGAAGAAGATTCATCCAGGCTTAAGAACGTTTCCAGTTCTGGAGTCTATAATATATTCTGGGAGTGGTGGTGGGGGACCATTAAAACAGGGATGTTTAGTTTGAGCCAAAGGTTGCAAGCATGATTTCCCACTGTGACTACATTGACAAATACTTTCGGATTTGCTCTGCAGTTAGCACAGGTGAATCTGAAATATTTTTCAGTGATCAAGTGACACAAAGGGCAGTGAGAATCAGCCAGGTCCTTTTTGCTTCTGATTCAGAGTTTACCCCCTGCCACTGAAGGTTTCTATATTTTTAAAACCGGATGATTTGAAAAGTGTTTTCCCTGTGGGATTGGTTTATTCTACAAAAGGATGTGAGGCATGCCTCTGGTTGGTGGTATGGTGATATATTAAGTTGTGGTATGATGTTCTGGGACACCTACCCCTGTGATCTTCCTCCCTATTTATTTTATTCATCTGTTTGTTTTATTTATAGGCTGCCTTTCTCCCAATAAGAGGACCCAAGGCGACTCACAATATTATAAAGAAGAGAATTCACAATATTAAAAAGAAGAGAATTAAGCACATAAGAAGTTAAACATTAAAAAATAATTATACTCTGATTAAAATACAATTAAATACTTAAAAGCAAGAGAACATGAAAAAATTATCTTTAAAAAGGCATTCAGGGACTCAATCATTGTTGTTAAAATCCTGCCTGAAAAGATGGGTATTCAGCTGTTAGCAAGAACAAAAGAGAGGGGGCCAGCCTGATTTCATGAGGGAGAAAATTCCATAACCTGTGGGGGCTGCCACAAAGAAGGCCCTCTCATCTTTCCTCATCATCTGTGCCTGCATTGTCAATGGGGACTCATGGGAGGGCCTCCTCAGATGATTTTAAAAGCCAAGAATGCTCTTATAGGGAAATATGGTCTCTAGTTGCTCTGAAGTATTTTTTTTTAAAAAAACGTTTAAAACAAACGTACTAATAGACCACCTTATCACTGCACTGATACATCGGTTTAGTGCTAGATCATCTCTGCACAGATTTTTTAAAAGGCCAGTCAGGTGGGCAATATCAAAAGAAGGGGGTCATGCGATGTGAGCGCATATCAAATTCCATCCGATTGAGGGTTGGTATGGACTAGAGACGGGGGTATTCATATATGAATACAAATATCCCTGCTCAGGTGGTGTTAACGAGAGTCCAGCCCCATGGGGCAGGACGGTCCACTCACCGATCCACCGCAGACGCAGAGTACGAATGGCTCTGCAGCACACAATCCACTCGCCAGTCTTCAACCTTGCAGTGAGGAGCAAGTGGCGCGCGTGCTGCACAGTCATTCATAGAATTGCACTGTCCACATCTGCGGCAGATTGGTGAGTGGACTGTCTGGCCCCATGGGACTGGACCCTCATTAATGCCAACTGTGCAGGCATATTCGTATTAATATACAAATATCCTCATCTCTAGTGTGGACATTGGCATCCAAATAATCCGTGGTCTTCCTGTGATCTCTGGAACTGAATACAGCCATAAAAGAGACTGCGAATCAAGCTAGCAAAGCCCAATTACTCAGATTTGGCTTTCCACTGTAGTCACACTCAATGCCTCTCTGGAGAAGCTCCAGCCCTTACACCCTTGGGCAACTCCCAGAATGCCCCCAGAAGAAGGAAATGGCAAACTATTTTTGAGTACAAAAATCACGGAAAGGTGACCATGAGCTAAAATTGACTAAATGGCATGTAGTTATTAATAATCCATATAATGCTCTGCAATGCACAAGGATGTCATTGTCCTCCATCAACAACAGATCAGAAAATTCTCTCCATTGCTAAATGAAAAATAAAGTATTCCCCTTGTTTTATTAGTATTGATAGCTTGGTGCAATGAGATAAAGTCCACAGTCAGAAATGGAAGCAAAACAAACTTGTACCTAAATAACAATTCTTTGAAAATATTGCCCAAAATAAGATGCAAAAAAGGGGAGGGTTCCTGCATTTTTAAGTAACAGCTGGGCAAAATAAGAAAACTCAAAGTACAGCCATATCAGTAAAAATGTGCAGAAGGGTTATAATCTTTTGCATTTTGCCATCCTACCTAAAACAAGATCCGCTTAACATTAAGTACCCGTAGTTGAGCTCATCAGAGGCTTTCTGCCCCTTAAAAGCCCTTGAATGACAACTGAATAACAATTCTAAATAGTCAGAAACCCCCTGAATAATATTTTGTAAATATTGTATTTTGTAGTAATTCTGCAAGGAGCCTTTCATTCCATATTAATTATTCTACAAAAGTTGAGTGATAAGTACTGCAGTACTCAAAAGCATAGGTACACAAAGCAGTCACCTTACATCCACAATCTTTTGTGTAATCTTCAAACACTCCTGGTTAAGTCCTCTGTGTCCTGTTACAAATCTGGGAATAAGCACTGAAAAATTAGGGACTTAGTAATAAAAATTACTTACCCTCAAGTCAGCTCCAACTTGTGGAGACCCTCCCTGGCTTTTCTAGGTCGGAAGTACTCAGACCTGTCTAATCATGCATAGAACAGTGCTATTAGTTATTTCTGTCTCAACATTTCCTCATTTGTATTTGAGTGGGGCAAAATTTCTGCTAGGCACAATACAGGCAAAGAGCCACATTTGATCTGTGCTAAAAACTGGGAGACCAACCAACTGAGCTGAATGAAGAAACCCCCAAAAAAGGACTAAGGTGAAGAATCTGAGAATCTCTAGATCAAAATATCAAAATCAATTGATTGTGATCCTTGTAAGCCAGTATGAATGCAAGTGTGTAGCCTTCCCTCCATGCCCTCTACTTCTGTCGCAGTTAACACCCAACATCCATTAACGAAACTCAGCAACAAGACCTTTTTGTATTTTTGTGCCCTAAACTGAAGTTGTCCCCAGATTAAGGCTGCTGCAGTACCACATTCAGTAAACAAAAGAGGATGATCAAGAAATACAAAGCCCTGGGGTCTTGAGGAGAAGTTAAGTGCAAGGCATATGCAATTGATAACTACATAAGCGCTAAAAACTCAAAGTTCCCCAAAGAACCTGCTTTTTCCTTCAGGGAAAACCAACTCACACTAATTCACAAGATTCCCACCCCCACACATAAAAGAGTAACAACACACTCAATGTAGCAAGTTCACTCACAAACCTCAGTAGTATATCCATATCTAGCGTAAAACTCCCCAACCACCACAACTTTAAGGCGACATTTTCGGCTGCCTCAGAAATCAACGTCGGTGTTTTGACATGCAGCCAATCCATTGAAAGCTAGGTCTCCCCCATGCATGCTATTAATTATTCAGCCCTGCAAAAGCTCCTATGAATGCATATTGGTTTAAGTTAATAGTTATTCATTACCTCACAGAAATGGGGGGAGAAGGGAAAACCCCCTCTCCAAAGCATTAATAATTGAAGACAAAATAGTCGGCCTTTGGAGAAATTCTGATAAAATCCATTACAACTGTCAAGAGTCCCCCTGCCAGCCCCCCCTGCCTCTGGTATGTGAAGCTGCTGGCTGAGTGTTCTGCCTTGTCAAACCAACCGTACAGTCTATTCAGTTACCCTGGAGTTGTCATGTGGAATCAAGCAAACAAATATCTTCCATTTCCCCCTCACTCTGCTACTTGAAAACTAAATTAATTGGCTGGAAAACTTGTGGCCTTAGTGGGGGGAAGAAAGCAATGAAGTTGATTTGCAAATTTGAATTACCATAGTTATAATAGTATGCACTTGGGAGTGGTTTGGGGTCCCTCCCCCCCCCACAATCCTTAAAAGGGGATGAATGGTTTTCCATTCAGTTAATGAATAAACTGCTAAACATAGCAAAGAGTCCTTAGTTAATATAGTCATAGGCCTTCTTATCCAGAAAATAAAAATTCAAGTATAAAATTGGAATACAAGCTTCTAAAGGGAGAAAAGAGCAGGGAGCATAACCCTCTTCCCAAAAAGCTAAGTAGTGCTTTGTGAAATCTTCCATTTGAAATTAAAAGTATTACTGTATATGACTTTATGGGAACACTCAGTCCTTGATGTAGCAAACTCTAGTGGTAAAGGTTATGATGTCTAAGACACTAAAAGGGAACTTAAGAAAGTAGAGATGTTGGAGTTTTTGTTAGCATCATCACATGCTGTCTGTAGTTTGAATGACCGGGGGTATTTTTCTAGGCCGGAGAGATTGTCTATCTATCCAGCAAAAACCAATCATTCCTTCCAGCTTTTGAATTTCAAAGAGAACACCACCTCTCTGCTGACTCTTCTATACTGTACTTCTCTTTCATTGGTTGGTGGTAGTTGCTTGTTATTGCTCTGTTTGGTAGGTTACTAGTATGTGTGCAGTAACATCTGTAATTTCAAGCAATTGTAAGTAAAGAACTTTTTTTTATTCTTTCTCTTACAAATGTATCAGAGTGAGTTACTGAGACTTTGAATGCTAGTTAATGAGAAAGGGGTGGACTCTGGGGAACTTGAAGCTATTCTCCTCTGTGGATCTCTACTATGTATCAAAAAGAGAATTTTACCAGAAACTCAAAACTCTGCAAGAGATATGAGTGAAGAATAAGGAGGAATATGCTCTGCTTCTTGAAGGTTAAGTAATTTGTTATGTTCACTTTCTTCAAAGCCTAGTGTTGGAGAAGGAGCACATCATAAAAGAGAGAGAGAGAGAGAGATTCCATTGCCAAAAAGAGGAATCATGGATTTGAACACAAAACTGTGCATGCTAATTTTCTTGTACAGATACACATTACCTTTGGCTGATCTAAACAGTGGTTGAAATCATGTTATTTAGCATAGTAAGTCACATCTAGAATAGGCCTATTTGAATTGATGAAACTTGAATTGATGAAACTTGATGAAACAATGATTCAGTGGCCTACTTTAGTGCAACTTGCTACACTAAGCAGAAGGATTTCAGTTGGTTGGAAATATCCATAAAGGTAAAAGGTAAAGATTCTCCTTGACATTTTCAGTTCAGTCGTGTCTGACTCTAGGGGGTGGTGCTCATCCCGTTTTCAAGTTGTAGAGCCAGCGCTTGTCTGAAGACAGTTTCCATTGTCATGTGGCCAGCATGACTAGGGAACACCGTTTTACCTTCCCACCGAGGTGGTACATATTTATCTACGCGCATTTGCATGTTTTAGAACTGTTAGGTTGGCGAGGAGCTGGGACAAAGTGACAGGAGCTCACTCCGTCGTGTGGATTTGATCTGACGACTCCTGGTCTTCTGACCCTGCAACACAGGCTTCTGCAGTTTACCCCCCAGCCCCACCACACATTACTATGGGCTAAATCCAGCTATTTGTCCCAACTACAGTGAGCTCATAGAATGAATATATAACTTAAGTCTCCACTTGTGTAAGTTTCAAAGATTCAACTGATTTTCTCTAGTTGAGACAAATAACTGGATTTGGCCCACTAGTGATCCACTTCAGAGAAAATCAAAGTATACATTACGGATAATCAGTTCTCAGTAGAGGACATTCAACACCAGTTAAAAGATCTGTGATGATCACACCAGGGGTTTTTCCAATCCCCTGCAATCTGCAGATTAGCTTCTTTTGTTTATGATTGGTCTTCTGGATCTAAACATGGGCAACTTTTATTAAGTATTGTTCAGTCATTTTGGCCCACTAGTGATCCACTTCAGAGAAAATCAAAGTATACATTACGGATAATCAGTTCTCAGTAGAGGACATTCAACACCAGTTAAAAGATCTGTGATGATCACACCAGAAGTTTTTCCAATCCCCTGCAATCTGCAGATTAGCTTCTTTTGTTTATGATTGGTCTTCTGGATCTAAACATGGGCAACTTTTATTAAGTATTGTTCACTCATCTCAATCACATCTCTAGAAGACTAACATAGTTTAGTTTACAGCAAGATGGGCTCTCTGTAATGTATAGTTTGGCCCTTGGGTTGCTTTTAACCCATCGTTTTTCTTTGTTCCTGATGATAAAGAAAAACAAGTGATTCCGGAAACAATGGAAACAAATTCTCCTCCCCTATGAAATCATGTAAGATCTTCACTGGGACAGTATTTAAACCTTTTGTCTTTATCCTTTTTTAGGTCCAGTGCTTCTCTTCCATCTCACAAATTTTAATTTTTAAATTAATATATGAAGCACGCTGCCAAATTAATGGCAAACTGAAGTTTAAGGCCCGAATCAGTCAAATATAAGGGTGTGTTTACTACTCCAGTTCAAATCAATAACACTTAAAAGTGCTTCTGTTGTCCATGTTTGCTAAATATGGAAACAGAATGACAAAAATAGTCTCTTGACCTTATTTGTAAACAACAACAACAATACAGCTTTTGTTTCCACAATTCAGGAATTAGAATACTTGCTAACTGGCAAATTATGATAATTACTTGGTCTGTTGCACTCTTTGCCTGAGCAGCTAGCAAAATAAGGAAACAATTTGTGACTATTAACACAAGCTGCTAAGATGTTCAGTGCTGAGGATAGTAAGGTTCTGACATACAGTGGTTCCTCGCTTAACGAGCGCACCGTTTAACGATGAATCTGCATAGCGATGCGGATTTTGCGATCGCAAAAGTGATCGCATAACGACGTTCCCAATGGCAAAAACTCGCATTGCAATGATCGGTAAGCGTTTTGCTTACCGATCTTCGCATTGCGATGTTCTAAAAACAGCTGATCGGTGGTTCCAAAATGGCCAGCGGAAGAAAAAATGGCTGCCCGCTCCATTTTCGCACCCTGCCCTCGCTTACTGGGCAGTGAAATGGTGGCCAGATGGAGGATTCCCGCATAGCGGTGGGTTTTTCCCCCATAGGAACGCATTAAACGTGTTTTAATGCGTTCCTATGGGCTTTCCCCCCCGCATAGCGACGAATCTGGATAGCGACGATTTTTTTGGCACAGATTATTGTCGCTATGCGGAGCACCACTGTACTTTTGTACACCAGGTTGCAAATGCATGATCAATTGATTATGCCATGTGTGTCACCTAGTAAAGTTTTGCCATAATAAATGTAAGAAAGAAATTTGCATTTTGCTTTTATGATGGATTTGGAGTTCTTATAAAGGAATTATCAAAATGATCAAGAAACTGAAGCACCTTCTCTATAAGGAAAGGCTTTTTAAAGACGAATAAGGAGTGTGAAGCATGGAAGAAGAGAGAACAATTGCTTGATGCTAGAACTTGAGGAATCCCAGTGAAACTGATGGACAGGAGAGTCAAGAGAGTCACACAATATAATGATGGCTGTTACTACTTCGAACAAAACAGCAGCATGAGTGACAAAACAGAAAAAAATTAAAATGTTGCAGCAAGATGTGTTAGCTCCTACTTTCTTAACATTCTCAGAATAAATAGTGCTGTGTCCAAACTAGCAAAAACCTTAGGGTGTTGGGTATCAAATCTATAAATCCAGAATATCTCTTTTCCCTTTTCCCTTAATTTAAACATCTTTGTAATCCAGTCATCAACAACTCAAATGTGGTATGATTTTCTAAGTTCAAGCATATGGCCACTGTGCATGGCCACAAAATGTTCCAATTTTCTAGTAAAGACTGCAGACATATGACTTTTGAGGCATGTATGCGGACTGATCACTGTTTTGCCTACATGCTGCAGATGGCATCTAATGGCATTTACACTAATACAAAACAGAACGTATCCATGACGTTCTGTAATGTAGCAAACTCTGCCAGTTACATGGCTCTTAAAGGGTCTAGTACTGTGAGGCAGGATTGCTGACTGATTTCCAAACACCACATTCATTATGTGTGTGTTTGGAAGAAGTCACCTGTAAGGGCACTGTTATCTCCATTCTTCCGGGTTGCAGAAGTGCTTTTTGCTGCTTTAAAAATTGTGCAAGGCCACAGACAAGCAAAGCAAGCATACAACAAAAGCAGAACCAGAACAAAAACAAAAGCAGAAGCTAAAGTTAGCCTCACTTTAAATTTGTTAGTCTTAAAAGATACTGTAATTTTTGTTCCTTTTTGTCTTAGGTTGTTGCTGAAACAGACTAGCATAGCCACCTCCCTGGAAAATATATACATGAATATATTGTTGAGGTATTAAGAGAAAGTTGTTTCCCTGAGTCTCAGCAGCAGGGGGAAAAATACATGAACATTTCACTTTGATATTTCTGGTTAGAAAAGCATCTAAATGTAATAACGATAACATTGACAGATACAGTACCATTTTTACTAAATGTGTTTAGCGGCATTGTCTAAATAATTAGCTTTACATAG